AGGTCACACAAATGCCACAACTAGCTCAACCTTCTCCAAATAATGGCTGTTTGGGCATTCCAAACCGCTGAATTGGAAAGGTGATATTCCATTGGGTTTCTGATACAGCCTTCAGCAGATTGTCAGCCAATTCAATGATGTTGGTAGGAGGACTCTGTTTTAAGCCATCATCATAGAATGCTTGGTGCTGTGTTATATTTAGGCACAGGAGACCCCAGTGGTTGCCATTTACGTGGATTGGAGTAAGGGTCCATACAACATCACCAAGATCCATTCTTGAAAGGTAGGGCTTCAACTTTGTTTGTAGAAATTGCACATTTCTAGTTAAAGCCCAGGTTTGTGTAAATGACAGTAGATACAAGGAATGGGAATTTTTTCGCATGGTTTCCTCACTCTACCTCAAACATGCAGCATCAATCAAAAAGCCACTAATGTACCTCTCAGCAGCTAAGGTTGAAAGGTCTTCAGCATCAACCATCACATCACCAATTCTAAGGATTTCGTCTTGAGGTTCACTGTCAAAAAGCAAAGCCCTAATTTCATTAATCTGCTGAGGGGTTAATGTGGTGCTTGTAGTTTTCATCCAATTTTCCTCTTCTTGGACTCTAAAAATAATGGAGGAAGCTTTTGATGCTTTCATCCAAATGTCTAGAGCTCTGCTGTCAAAGACCCCGAGATCTCCAAACTTGACTGCAGTGTCGAAATCCTCATCATCACTGTCTTCTCCAGCTGCCGCATCCATCAGTCTATAACCCTTAGTGATTGCTGATTCTGAGGGCCTGACTGGAGACTGCAGAGGATTGTTAATACACCCAGGATCAACAACCAGCTCGATGTCATCATCTGGAATTATAATTAATTACAGGCAGAAGATTAAGGGTAGCAAGTTGGCCTCTGGAACAATCATTTGCAGCACAAATTCGTAAGTCAGGAATAAACAAAGATTCTGATGGTTGAGGAACAAAGGCAGTTTTAGTATCCACTGTGACACTGGACGAAGAGCTGCAACTGGAATTTGAAGGGCTAGTGGCAGGGCTTGATGAGAGGCTTGTGGAAGAGCTGCTGACTGGGTCAGTGTTGCTGAAAGCTGGGCTGCTAGCTGGAATGGATTGTGGACTTTGTGGCTGTTCCAGCAAGGAAGTAAAACTGGTCAAAACTGTAGGAAAAAGCTGCTCCCACAGTGCATGATCATATTGATAGATAGGTAAACAGTCAGGTGATATTACCACTTGTTTTAAACCTTTGTCAAATTCATAAGAAAGAGCATCCTTGCAAAACATTTTGTTGAACAAGTTATTCATGGTGAAAATCCAGGCCATGTCATCTTTTGACCTTGACACTTCTTTTTTTCTGGACCAACCGCAGCCTCTAAAATGGAATGGTTTACCTGACATACAAAAAAAAAAACATTGGCATTGGCAAAATAAGGGAACCAGACAGTTAAAACAACAAAAACAAAAAAAAGATTTTAAGAGACTGTGTTCAATAAGCTCTAAGCTTATACTGCAAGTTTTTATGTGGTTAGTTTTCTACTGCACGAGAGGAAGAATGACAAGATATTTATGTTATCCCACCCCATTCCAGGTAGAAAAAGATAAAGTGCACAGTAATGTTGTCACTGAATATAGTGTATGCTTTCTATGGGAATACACAACTCCCAGTTTTTTACATAACATTGTCTCAACAAGGGAGAATACATTTGACTACACATCAAAGGGACTGACAAAAAGAACTTCCATTATATAATGTTTCTAGCTGGCAAAAATTTTAGAAGATAATCACCATTATCCATGCTCTCTATAGCCATTCTGAGGCAAAGCCGCAGGAACAGCAACTTTTCAGGAAAGAAATGTTGCAAAATCTCTTGGACCTAATATAATGAAATAAAGTTGATTATTCAAAAGTGCCAACAACTTCAATACCAACAAGAACATGTGATTAAACCAGACTTTGCCTTTTTCCCCAATGGATTCTAGTTTTCACACAATAAGATACATAATATTTAAGAACATGTACAGTGTAGCTCCCAAAAACTGATATTTTACTAATAATTTATGGTATGCCTTGAACAATGACTTCAATACTAACTGTAAATTGGCATTTAAAATTTCAATAAAGACCTTTAGCATCAGGTTTTTCATGCATGGGACACTGCAAACAGGTCTCAAATATGAGAACGTCAAGTGGTCTTCTAGTCGTGTTTGCAGCTTGCAGTTCAAGTTTGAATGGCAGGAAGGGCTTACAGCAGTACGTAGGTGACTTACAGCAATGTTTTTGCCACTAACAATAATATTATTATTCAGCCTTACAGTTAAAAGCACGAAGCACCTTTCCACACCACCCTCTGATGTGCTAGTTAGAGCTTGTGATAAACAATGAATGTCTGCCTAAAGTTTAAAATCCAGGCAAAGTGAAACTGCAAATGGGTGACTGCAGACTGCAGTTTACAGTTTGCAGTATCCCATGAAAAACTGATGCTAAAGGTATTTCTAATACCTATGGATATTCTCCAACAGGAAATTATTTTGCTAACAATGAAAGATGTTAAGATTAAAGGATATTCAAAACAAGGATTTTCCACTGACTCAACTTAGATTCAAGAGCTTTTAAGAGGGTAGCTAAAATTCAAGAGCTTTTCATATCTTTATGAACTATGCATCATCCATCTGTGGTATCACAAAACAATGTGAAAATGACATGATGAGCTTCCTAGCCTTTCTGTAAAAAGAGTGCTTAGTTTAGTTCTAACAATATTTAAGTAGATGACAATATTAGTTTCAAGTACTGTAGTGTTGAGATGTATGATAATATAAAAAATAAAGTACTAAAAAAGTAAAATATAAAACTAACTCGATATAGCATGACCATGCCTGTCATGGGAAGTAGCCTTTGAATATAACTGATGCTGTAATGAGTGTGCTGCCTCAAAGCCTTGATTTGAATACTCCCTCAAGCTTAGGTGGTTTCTAAACAATGTTCAATGGTGCTGCATGTGGCCATAATCACCAGTGCCCAGGTTGCAGCCAAACACTTCCCTTAAAAGGAATCCCCATTTTCTGCACTAAAAGAAAAAAGAGGCATATTTCCGTGGGTGTTAAACAGTTGTCAAAATCAACATTGAAGACTGTGCAGTAACTGACGGCAGGTCTAAAATACAGGTAACTTTTCCACAGGTCAGAGTACAGTTCACCATGATACAGACAAATGAATAGCATTAAAAGTGTTTGCAAGCACTAAACTCTTAACAAAATGCTCTATTAGATAGAGGGGAATCTGTGTGGTTTGGCAATTCATCTATGGAGTAGTGACATGTACTTCTTACCTGTGGAATGTGACCTGTACTTCATGAATATCTTAAACATTTAAGGAGAGATAAACATTTTACTTTTAAAATAATAATTTATGTGCCTCATTCTCATTCATTTTTTTCATCTAAAAAATTGGATGTAAAGTTTAGCCGTGCCTTTATCAGATAGACACTCATTAAGCATTTCTTTCTTTTGTTCTTTCTTTATGGATTATTAATGAGTTTTTGAATGTCAGTTAAAGTGGCCGGAAATTATTTTTGAATTTCTCGTCTTGCAGTAGCTCACTCTCATTCAATGACCACATAATTAAAACAGCATCTTCTTGTATGTCTGCCCTAGGGCAAATTAGCCGAGTTAAACATATATTTAACAAAAACATACTTGTTACAATAATTAATTCTCTCGTGTTTAGTAAGTTGTATTACTGCTTGTCCGTCTGGTCGAACACTTCTGCCAGCAATATACGCAAACTACAAGGAGTACAGAATTTCACTGCTTGCATAGTTTCTGGGACAAGGAAGTTTGATCACGTATCTCCAGCCCTGAAAGACCTGAGATGGATACCAGTTAAGTCCCACCTGTATCTAAGAGACGCCATCTTGTCCTTTAAATCTATGACAGGTCAGGTACCAAACTACCTCAGTTCAAATTTTATCTCCAGAGGGAATATCAGTGGTCGGACGACCAGATCATCTTCCCAGCTTAATATACCGCTTTTTAAAACCAAGTCGGGACAGAGATCTTTTTATTACAGGACTCAGGGTTCATACAAAAAATTGCAACCATTTTTCAAGGACTTTTCAAGGACTTTTCAAGGACCACATTAGATTTTCAAGGACAACCTAGCTACTAGGAATATAATTTCACAGATTGTACAAAAATGCATATTCCCAGTATATTCTAATAAGACTTTAAGGCTTTAACTGTTTGCTTCACCAAATTCTCTACATTTTTCAGTTCACTTGTCTTAAACTGATAGTTAATTATTGCATAAAACATGGAGCACTTTATGTAAATGACCTTTACATTCACTGAGCTACGATTTATATTCTGTCTTGGACAACCAAAAAGCATCAAAAAATTCTTTCCAGGCTACTGCATTCAAAGTTGAAGAAAATTCAAGCTCTTTTCAAGGACTTGCACAGAAATTTAAGGACTTTTCAAGGAAAAATGGAATTCAAGGACTTTTCAAGGACTTCCCCTAAAATTCAAGGACTTTTCAAGACTGTGCGAACCCTGAGGACTGTAACATTGTGGAATGCGTTAAAACCCCATTTTAAATTAAGTGAATCTCTTATCATTTTTAAACGTATAATGAAAGCCTTCCTTTTAGATCAATTTTTAATGTCATAAATTTATATGTAAATAATTTCTTAATAGTTTGTTGATAATCAATTTGTGATACTTTTTTTTTTTTTTTTTTTTTTTTTGATTACCTGTACTATTAATACTTGTCTCTGAAAAGCACCCATGGGGAGTTGACAATAAAATTTGTATTGTATTGATTGTATTTTTTTTAATTTCTGGTCTCTGGTGAAAGATTTACAAGAACCTCCACTACAGCTGTATTAACCTTCTTGTCTAAATCTATTATTGTAATAGTTTTAGACATTATGCATATTTTCCATCAAGAGGACTCCATTTTCAAATGGTACTTTACACTCTTACTAAAGTGAATTACCTGACACATACCTGTATGTCAAAAATGTCAATTAAATCTTGCTGATCCTCCTCGAAGACACTACTTCTAATAATTTCAGAACTGTCTTTCCAGTCATTGTAAACCTGAAATCAAAATGAATAAATTATACAAAAAGCCCAAATTACAATCTTAAATGAGTTGTTTTAAGTTAAGGGGAAACTGCCTATCTCAGTTTTTTTTTATAAGAGCATGCAGTGACCTTCCCTTGTGACCTGTGTTTTGTAACTGCCACTTGTTAAAGTTAAGAATTTTGTTCCTAAGCAAAATCAGCTTGACTAGTTTTAACTTAACGTGTCTGGATTTTGCCCCATATCTTATTTCTCATAAAACTGTCCAATGTGTCTTCCAATTGAGTAAAAAAAGACTTGATTATTTGATTACCTTTAAAAATAATTGGTAGAACACTTCTGCTGTATAATCAGATAGCTGAGAAAGATAAGCATTGTCCACCTTCTGCCTTTTCTTTTCCCGTTTACCTTTAGCAACCGACCAACCAACACACTTCTCTGACAGCTCCACATATCTTTCCTCGATTTCACGTAGCCTGCCCTCCTGCCAGAATTTCAGTCTTCTTTGAACTTCTTTTCCAGTTTCTAAGGAAAACAGGTTAGGTAGTCACATCACGAAGTGTAAGGGGTATTCTTTTTAAGGGCAGGACTATTATGCAAGAACACAAACCACTGCTGGGTGTGCTTTACATGCTAAGGAACATTCACTCAGTTGGGATTTAGTAATCTGATGCAATAATGATGTACCCTGGATACACAATGGTCACGTCATGGGGTTGTATTAATACTAACAGTGCTAGCTAGCCTATCACAACTTCCAGTGTCGATGGAAGTAAATACAGTCATTAATTCAAACTGTCTGGTTTATCACAGTCAAAGGGAAGGAAAGCTTTTAAATAACAGTATAATGACTGTAATATGTCCCTGAACCTGTAAGGGTAATAGTCTCCTGCTCTGAACCAAAGTCTCTGGTGAATGTCTCTGAAATAGCCATGTCCTGATAGTACTAAAACAAATTATTAAAAATTCATTGAATATTTTCAACAGAAACCATTTTTTTCAGTGTATGTTTGTACATACTACACAAAAAATATTATTGTGTGTTGCACTGGTTTAAGTGAAACATTCAAATCATGTGATATCCTGAGCCATACCTTGATTCTATCATTACAAAATGTGACTTTATTGGGTGTTACTAAAATGAAGACCCAAAAACAAAGACCTAAGACCTAAGACCCCATGGACTAAAACGAAGACCCCATGGACTAAAACGAAGACCCCATGGACTAAAACGAAGACCCCTTGGACTAAAACAAAGACCCCTTGGACTAAGACGAAGACCCCTTGGACTAATATAAAATGAAAAATGACTGATTCTAACCGCTGAGGGCAATGCCCGCTCTTGTAATTTGTTACTGCGATTTGGGAATGTTGTGGAATTTCCTCTGCAGTATTTAGTTGTGATAATCAAGTCTATCGCTTACCTTTCCTTCAGGTTTCTTTTAAAATATTTTGCATGTTTTAAACCACTTTGCATTGGAAGTCAGTTTACGGTGATGGAGATGTTGAGATAAAAGTCCCAGGTTTGAGTCTCGTGAAAGATACGTTTTTTTTTCCTAGTCTTTTTCCTTCTTTTTCTTTTATTATTATTTTTTTAACACAGTTATCATAAAAACAACTGTTTAACCCGTAAAGATGAGTCATTTTTTAACAATAGAGGGCATACAGAATATCGTAACATCGTATGACAGGGATATAAATAAAACAAATAAAACCCGGCATAAAGACAAATGAACCTCGCTTAAATGAAACTCAAATTATGTTAACCTTTACTCAAGTAATGTTCTCGATCGAAGGCTTTTTTTTCTCTATTGATGAGCTAAAAAGTAATAAATAGAACGCGAGGTTGCTCTCTCCTTGAATTCGTCAATGAAAAATGTCTCCTTGTTATTTCCTCCCTATACTACGTGTTGTCACTATTTTGTTTTTTAAGTGCATTGATACAATTCTTCGACATTTTAGACTGAGCTGGAGCATGCGGTTATATTTTCTTAACTCATTACACCCAGGATGACACCCAAATCATCCGACATTGAATTGCCAACCATATAAATCAGAAAGTGCATGGACCCGCTCCTCCCCCAAACCCTAACTACGCGCCCAAAACACGTTTGGCGGAAGTCTTCAAGACAAATCCTGTCATAAGCCTTTTTGATTGTCAGGCCTCCCATCCTTTAGGCTTGTCACGCCAATCCTCTTCACCGAGGGCGCATTATAACCATACAACACACTAGATGACCCTTCATCACCGTAAACACTTCCAAAGTGGTTTAAAACATGCAAAATATTTTAAAAGAAACCTGAAGGAAAGGTAAGTGATAGACTTGATTATCAAAACTAAATACAGCTGAGGAAATTCCACAACATTCCCAAATCGCCGTAACAAAGTACGGGGCGGGCAATGGGCAATGCCATTTTTTGTTTTAGCATCAGTCATTTTTTTTGTTTTAGTCTATGGGGTCTTCGTTTTTCCATGGGGTCAAAGGGTCTTCGTTTTAGTCCATAATGTCTTCGTTTTAGTCCATAATGTCTTCGTTTTAGTCCATGGGGTCTTCGTTTTAGTCCATGGGGTCTTCGTTTTAGTCCATGGGGTCTTCATTTTAGTTCATGGGGTCTTAGGTCTTAGGTCTTCATTTTTGGGTCTTCGTTTGAGTAACACCCGACTTTATTCAGGAGGGCCTCTTTAGCTCTTTCTGGATCAGCAAAATGTATGACACTTCAATTTGTCATGAGGCAAGGAGTTCCTGACAATTGTTTCAATGTTTGTGAGGAACTCACATTCAGTAGAACCTTCAGGAAAAATAGTACAGAAAGAAACAAACGGGATTTAAATTCACAACTTAATGACATCTTCATTACAAACCAGTGTTACAGTTTTCATATTAAGGATCAAGGTATTGTACAAATAAAACTCATGCAGCTGCTACAGCACAGAAAAAAAAAGCCCTGAAATGGATAAAGTGAATTAAAGCAATCATGATAAAAATGAAACAATATAGAAGGTACCTGAAAATGAAGACACCTGAATGTTGTGCTTTTCAACAGCAGTTTCTTGGCCCTCTTTCATCTTCACTGTTATTCTGCTGCTAAAATTCTCAGGGCCATAATTTGCCAATTCGGCATTACATACATCAAGTGAACCCACTTTGTACAAAAAAAAACCAACAATGACAACAGCTGTTCAGTATTTCTAAGTTCACAGTGAAGGGTGCAGAGATTAATAGACGATAAATCCTCTTCAAAAAGGAACTCTAAGTCATCACGGATGCCTTTGAAACAAGAAAAAAGAAGATTCATTATTTTGTTAGTTGTAGGGGATATCTCCCCTGAAGACTTGTACTGGTACTTAACAGTTTTATAGATTTCAAACTCAAGTATTTTACTTGACAGGTTTTCAGTCTTTTATGACAGTGCCCCTACAATATTAACAAACCTACAGTAAAGGAAGACTGTGATATATTATTATGGGAAAATAATATGTGCTCTAGGAAAACAAGACAAGGATAATTGCCAACATTTTATAGACAGGGGCATTAAACACCATGTTTGTCCAAAAACAGCTTTTTGTTTTCTTTTCCATGCAGTGGAACTTCCCCTTTTACAAAAGGCAAGGCTTAATTATTACAAAAATATTATAAATTAAAAATAAGGTCTATATAAAAGTTAGTCTTTTATAGAAAACAACTTTTCATAATTAAGCTATAAATGCTGGGATGAAGAGATTAACTCACTATACCAGGGAATTTAATTTTTTAAATAGAGGTTAACTGTATTGAGATAACCTTGTTTTGAATGCCTTTTATAATTAGAAGTGACTGTGGATTCAAAACGACAACTACAAAATAACGCTGAAATTCATGAATAATCACGGGCTACATGCCTCAACAAGTAAATTACCCTCTAATATAATTGGCCTTGGACATGCTAAAGTGTTCCAAACAAACTGTATGCAGACCAAGATTGCAATTACATTTCTAATAAAGCAACAATAAAAATAGCCATTATTCACCAGCCCTGTAGCTAGTTTTTACTAACAAATTTTACCCAGCAAACCTGAAAATCTAATAGTACTGGCATGTATTGATAAGTTGGTCGTTGGTAAGGTCAAAACCTGCATAGTAGAATTTTTTGACTCAGAGATTTTGAATATATACAAATACCCTCAATGCTTTGCAGATAAAGCAACACTCTACTTCAGTTCCTCGTTTCCCAAGCTGAAAGTTCGCTTTCCCTATTTGTTCCAGCAAAAGATTGAGGGCCTTCAGGTCAAGTATAACTGTAGATATAAATTTTTAAAAAGAGGTCAATGTACATGCAGGCATTTGGATTGAAAATTATGGTACTAAAAAATACCTTATTAATTATTATGTGAAACTTACCTTTAAATCTCACAGCATAATGCACTCCATCCACTGTGATTTCATTTTTCTTTAGTGCATCCTTTTGTTTGTTGACATTAACAATCAGCTTTTTTAGGTTTTCCCTAATAATAATAAAAAGTAAAGTTACCGGTAAACTGAAGTTATTACTAAAATGAAAAAAAAAAAAGGAAAATGAAATACCATACTGCTAGTCTAGTCTGCAGCAGATAGTTCTTAAGACTTGAAAACATAAGGTCGGGTTTGAGAGGCCCACTAATAAATTAAGACCTTTGTGGTTACGTAAAATTTTCAAAAATGATCGTTTACTGGGGCCTTTAGGCCTCATATAATAAATTTGTTGTAAATCCACAAATTATTTCAGCTTGCATGTATAACTGGTCAACAACCAAAAATTGCACAGTCAAAAAGGTACAATAAAATTTTCACTAACAAAACTAGTTATTCTGGAAACAAATAACTATTTAACTAATGAATCAAATTTAAATACAACATACCTGTCTTCCTTACAATTAGCAATAGGTAAAGGGCACTGCACTGATTTGCAGCTCTGATTAGACAGGAATGGTGTGTCTTTGGGGACTAAACCCATAAGGACCTGACTGTGCCCTACAAATGAGAGGAAACAAAAAAAAAAGGAATTTCAAAAATTTAAGCACCACTTCATGACCTAGAGTTCAAAGTGTTTGGTTATGTTTACCCTGCCACTTTGATGTTACCCCCCCCCCCCCCCGCCCCCCTCAAACTTAATACAGTCACCTGTATCTAATTTAATGGATTTGTCGCAACAAAAAGCACATGTATTTTGTCTAAAATTTACTTCCTAATACAGACAACAATAATATGGACAACAAGTTTTAAACTCCCATTATATTATATACCCTGTTTTACATTATTTTATCTCTGCACTGACTATGACTGAATATCAGTCTTTCAAGTGAAAATTGTGGATAAGGAACGGTAAATATTTAAGAATACTGACGAAAAAGGTTATTTCAGTCCAAGACTACACCCATGATAAATGATCACAGGGTTTCGTTAGGATGAACTTCTTTCAGTAACAGTTAAGAAATAATTTGGACACTGTTGTACGTCCCTTGGTGTCATAATTCTTAACCCAGTTTCACTGATGATTTAAATTGTTTCTATGTTTTTCTTTCTTAAGTGCAACACAGTTGTTGCAAAATACAATAAAGGAATCTGGAAATATATTATAAGGTACACTGTATTTACTAAAGATAACTGTGTTCTCACCTGCAAATGGCCTACCATCAAGTTTGAGGCTTAGGTCAATTATTTCTTTCTGCACACTCACGTAATCTCAACTCCCTGATAATCCATGTTAGGGCACTTTCAAACTTCATAACCAGGAAAATCTTGTATTCGGGTGATGTCAAAGAGGCTTCGAACTTTATCAAACACCAAAGACCAAAGTGCCTTTATGTTGCTTTTGGAAAGCAAGATCGGAGTGTCTGATGAGTTCTAGAAGAAAAGAAAAAAAGATCAAGGGTACTGACACAGTACCCTGCCTCCCCCCACAGAAATACCCAATTTTTCTTACACCCCTCAGAAATTTTCCAAAGATCAAAGGTGCCGTCACAGTCAATCCCCTCGGAAATGACTTTCTAGGGGGGAATTGGAGTGGACATTTGAATGGAATAGACCACCATTTATTTATGGTTAGGGGGATTACTTTATAGTTCTAGTAAGCTTAAAGAAAACCGACACCACCAACAACAACAACACAAAAAATAGTCAGTGGCTAACTCACCCCGCTTTTTCCAAGTCGAGTCCGATTTAAGATCATCTGCCAGGAATCGTTAGATATTGTTGATTCCAGCTTACAAAGAAGCAACATCCAATCTGGTACAGACATCATTTGTACACGCTGGTTCCACAGCTCCTCAGGTACGAGCTCGCAGAATGCCTTTCGAACTCCCAGCTCATTCGCTACTTCACTTAGCACATGCCAAATGACCTCCTTCCCATTGATCCCATTGAAAGTTTTCTTACGCCGAAACAGGCAGCTTTGTGCAACAACGTCCCTCAAGATTTCTCCCTGCTCTAAACATACAGATTCGACGCTTCCCATTACAGCTTCCTCCTTTTGTCTGATCTTTCTCTTCTTATACGCAGAGCCAAACTTTCCATTTAATAACGAAGAAATTGACGATACAGATCCAACAGATTGCGAGGAGTCGTCACAGGAACTTGAAGAAGACGTACTGTCAACATGGCCAAGGGGGAGTTCAAATTTTGGCGCGCGGGGCTTTGTCTTCGTGGAGTAGAGCATTTTGGCGGGCTTCCCGGAAAGCTGCTTTCTAAAGATAATTTCTTCTCTTTCAATTCTTGGGGAATTTCTCCTTCGTCACTTTTAGAATCTCTGTCTGTACTAACGCAGCATAAATCCTGAGCGGGCCTGTGATCGATGTCCGATTCTTTCAAAACATGCCTGTTGATGGTCCGCTTCAGCGACAAGAAGGCTTCTAATCGAAGAAATCCCGATTCTGACGGGTTCCTAAGGACTAAATTACAGGCAACTACTGCAAATGTACTTCCAACGTAAACTTGATCAGAAGATTTTTGCCCATTTAGCTTGAACCACTGGCTTGAAACAGGGCAGCCATTTTCATCGTACAGATCAGCAAAATTAACGCGAAGAAATTAATCGGGAAATAGCTGAAAGAAAGAACCCTCGCTGAATTCTCTCAGCTGCTTACCACACAAACGATCATTCAATGCGTACCATGTCTTTTCTCGATCTAACGATCCAGAGAAAACGCGAAATAACATGGTAGTTACGAGGATCACCGCAAGAAGGGCATCGTGAAAGCTTGCCTCCGCAAGTGACTCGATCTTCCTGAGAGTAAGCTTATACGAATTCATATCTGCCGCCAATTCAAGTTTTTACCAAAAAAAGCCTGATCCAATTTATCTCTGCAACAAATTAACTAAATAAGTCTGCTTCTTCTTCTCCACAGCATCAACAAGGAATTGACAGATCCGGATTAATCACAGGCAGCCCAAGCGCACTATGTTTGGGTTCTGGCTTCAGAGGTCATTTGGTCGGAACATACTAGAATTATTAGTGTATTATCTGATGCCAAATAAATGCAAAAATCTTAAAGATATGAAGTCTTCTTGTTTGTCTATCTGTACTAGTAGCCTTTAAGATATAACGAAGGTCGAGATTTCTTGCATTAATTATTACATGTGATTCGGGCCCTCATTGTTCGAATTCGAATCTACAACGCTAAGAAAAAAAAATCATGATCACGCGAAATATTGATTCAAAAAGCTCCCTTACCTTTAGTTCACAGCCACTCTGTGTCCTACGGCCGGTTTAAACGCCGTTTAGTCGACTTTCTTTCCATCGAGTACTGAACACTACGCAGAGGAGCTGGATCAGTTGTGGATGAACTTCCCTAACCCAGTAGCTGTCGCCGATGGTAAACAGGTCGAAGCTAAGAAGGTAAAGCAGGCAATCTACAAAGCCCGCCAGCAGGAGATACAATCAACGGTATCTGAGGAGAGATGGCAAGGAAAGCTTATCAAGAACAGCTGGGACGACGAGGAAGTTAAACTAAACTCTTTATGGAAGAATGCCCCAACGCATACCATCGCTGGAGTACAAGAGCTTTACCAACAGCTGTTACCTGCCAAGGTTTACTACAACAGAAAAACAAAATCACAAATCACTGATGAAAAATGCCGCCTATGAGGGGATTCCCTGGAGAATGTGCAGAACATTCTATCTGGCTGTAGTGCAGTGGCACTACCTAAGTACCTACAGAGACATAACAATGCTTTCAAGATCGTATTCTTTGAAGTCCTCAGATCTTTAGATCTCATTACTAAAGTGAGCCGTGGTTCTCACAAGTCACACCCAAGCCTCTGTATGAGAATGAGCATGCGATCGCCTTCTGGAACGTCCCATTATTCCCTGACAGAACTCAAGTAAAAGCTAATAGAATCGACGCCACGGTTATTGACAAGACCAGCAAGCAAGTCAGAGGGATTGAAATGAGTTGTCCGTGGCTGGAAAATAGAGGGTCTAAAGATTTCGAGAAGACAACGAAGTACAGCCAACTGAGACTAGAGCTGACGAACCGATATCCTGAGTACAAGGTCAATCAGTATAACCACAGGCTGCCCAAACTCATGTTACGAGGGAAGGGTGTAATGTAATTTACATACCATAGGTGACGCGCCGGTGTCGCGTTACAGTACAGGCGACCGTTGAAAATGTAAGAGACTTTGTATAAGAAATATATTACTGAGATCTGCGAACGCTAAATAACCCTAAACCTTACTTTTTCTTAAATGAAATGAATAAAAAAGTCTTACCTGCAATCTATTCCACTGCGTTTTGGTGTCTGTTTGTCGTTTTACTGTTTTTTTGGCTTTATTGCGTAACCACTGTTACTCCGTTCTATGAAAGGAGTAACAGTGGTTACGCAATAAAGCCAAAAAACCAGTAAAACGACAAACAGACACCAAAACGCAGTGGAATAGATTGCAGGTAAGACTTTTTTATTCATTTCATTTAAGAAAAAGTAAGGTTTAGCGTTATTTAGCGTTCGCAGATCTCAGTAATATATTTCTCATACACTTCTCTTATGTTTTCAAGGGTCGCCTGTTGTAAATTACATTACACCCTTCCCTCGTAACGTGAGTTTGGGCCGCCTGTGGTATAACATCATTATGGATGTCCTTGGGGGCTGTTCGAAAGAGGTTGAGTAAAATATAAAAGAGCTTGTAGGAGACAAGTGTGAATCAATTATGCGCCAAATGCAAAAGGCAATCCTGTCTAGTTCATTACACATTGTGAAAGGTTTGAACCCAGGAGTCATTTCAAAAGTAAGTTGAGTTTGATCGTTCGGGTGAACGTAGTCCTGAATAGGACTGTTGTTGTTGACAGTGACTGACGTTTCGACAACCTGTGCGGTATAGTCATCTTCAGAGTCAAAGTGAGTTGTATCACGTCAGTTGATGGTATTATACTCTGGTTATTGATCTGATTGGTCAATTACGTCGCGATGTTATTGGTCGTCTGTCAGTTAAGCCGTGATGTTATTGGCTATGAAGACTCGTGATCAGTAATTGGTGCGTTTCGATCCGTCTATTGTCACAGTTAAATAGTCGTCTATAGTTAGTCAAATTGTCATTCTCTCGTAGTTAGTTTTGTTTGATCTCGTCAATAAGTCGTTTGTACGGCGCTGGTAACTGTTGGCTACGATTCAGTGGCGTTTGTTCTAAGTTAGTAAACCAGCTTTCTATAGTAAGACGTTGATAGTAGTCTGTAAAATACCTTATACATGTCGCAGAGTCCCAGTCAATTTCATGTTTCGTCTTTAAATGATGCTCAGCAATGTGATTGCTGACGTCACCATTCTTCGTCGCTCGTTTGTGTTCGGTCAGTCGCGTGCTTAGGTTTCTGCCGGTTTCACCAATGTAAGAAGCCTGGCAGTCACAGCATTTGATCTTGTATACTGCTCCCTGTCTGTTTACTAGAATTAGAATTAGATATCTATAGGAATTTTGCACACCTGTTTTAACAGATACTTAATATTGTACATTATCGAAATTCTC